TCCATGCAGATATGGACGGATACCATCTGGACGGTAATATGCATAAACCTACGGGTATCTATGTATTTCCGTAGAATGTTAAAATGCACCCTTGTTCGTCCCAACATGGCGATGCTGTCTTGCGTCCATGCACTGTTAATGAATGCTCAAATTCTATGGATTTGTGGTTTCCGTTTCGACGTAAGGTTCGCTTAGTTGCCGTACCATGTAGTAGGTTAAACTGATCGCTCTCACCGGCTTAAGCTTCATTTTAAATTTAAGGTCCAGTATGCAAACCAAGGTTCATGCAAAACTACTTGATAATGTAAATATGTTGATAGCCTGTAATTCGACAAGATATTTATCACACTGCTGGTGATATCAAGGCATTCGGTTTGATAATAATTTGAAATAAAATGCGAGAAATAAATATTTATAACAACATACGTTTCAGTCATGCGTCTATCCATTACTTGCACCATCTTGTATTCATTCGATAAGAGATTATTTATTTTGTGTATAATTGCAGCTACACTGTTCGATAATAAATGCAAGGTAACATTGGGAAGCAATGCTAGGTGTCGCCTTATACATGCTGACTTGAGCGCGGGTGTCAACTCTGGGAGATATATGAGATGTAACACGGCTGCTAACAGTGAACAATCCCAAGAAGTTGAAACGGCACAAAATTAATTACTATTTTAAATTTTCTGTTATTTGAATTTGGACCATGCTGAGATTTTAGGAACTGTTCTATACTATCAATTTCGTTTCAATTTCTGATACAAGATTTAGGCAGCGTAAGCTCACCGCCCCCGTTTGTTGTAGTCGTCTGGGAGGGGGGCATTTCAGAAGCTACGTCTCAAATGGTAATCCTGCACCTACAGTGTACTGAATTTAGGACCGACTCCGAGCTGGGCTGAATAGCGGCGCGTTAGAGCACCAAATAAACGTGCCACTGTCCGCAGAAAAATATATACACAAGATTCTTATATTCTGGAGTAGCTAACACAAGGCAGCTTTCCAATTCTGCCGATAATCGTAACATTTCATTCTCTGATACGTAATCGCTTAGGGGGGACCAACCCTGCATTCATAGTCTGACCGGTCGAAGAAAACGCCTAGTCTAATCTGACGTTTACTCTTTCTCTGACTACTTCAGCTAGAGGTCAGGATTAATGATAAATCCGCAATCGATAATAAATCCAGATAAATAATTAATCCGCATAATTGATTAATTCTAAATCGTCTACTGCCAGAGAAGTCTCACTACTACTCGGATAGGACAGTGTTGCAAAATTCCTATGACTTTCGCGTCAGCAGCCGAAACGTAGGAGTGAAGTAAAAGTTTACTACGTGCCAAAAGCCATCGCTTTGTTGAACTGGTCGATCTAGAATTCATAATGTATATTCTTGTGAAAAGAACACATGACACTTAAAGAAATGTCACGAGTGACGCTTCGGTCAGTCAGTGGTTATAGGTGACCACCAGACACATTCAAAACCGGATTCCGTATTGCTGCTGTGCCTCATTTCCTAACAAGTGCAAGCATCACGGATTCTGTTGCTGGAGCCAGAGCCATAAGCAGTTTCAGAGCACAGGTTCAAAGGGTTCCCCTACGCGATACTTCGAACCATGAAATCCTACCTCTGCCGTATAAGAGTTAAACACAAACAAGCAACGTTCTAGCCAATTCACACCGATCCTCAAGTGTCCTCCAAGTCAACTCTGCTGCTCAAGTTTCAGATCAGCCATAACGAACATACAATCTTCTTTGCATAACGCGAGTAATCTGAGTAAAGATGTGTAGAAACGCTGACTGGGGAGCCTGCTTGGGATGACCTCATTGCCCTCTGATCATATCATTACTAGATATATGATACCAACGACAAACTCCGAAGGTACGGAATAAAATTGCACGTTTATAACGGTGTATAGGAAAAACTGAGACTGATACGATTCAAACGACGCGCACGGTTTAAAGAAAGTACCATTTCGATTTTAGGGTTATCCAACATTGTGATGTGCATTAGCATAACAGCTCATACAGAACAATGAGGGATGCGGGTAACAGACAAATGTTTGAATTATCTCAGAAAGTGTACCTCGCTCTCCTAAACAAGCAAAGGCACATGGGGAATGACGAATGACCCCTGTTGGACGGTGTAACTCTGCTGATGATCTGATTCGGTGATTTGTGCAAGTGGAAGTGCTCAACTGAATCTAAGCGACGAACACCAAGTCCTATCTTCTGCCTACCGTCTCATGTTCACAGTACGCATGCATATGCACCGGCGAGAGAGAAGCATACGTATACCAGTTCGGTACATCTACTGATGAGTCGGTCACTGCTTGGATCTAGGTGAGGATGCATCAGTACCATCGGTGTCACTGCTGCTGAACTTGCCATTTAGCCTATGGCTGTACATATGCTGTGAGGTGAGCCAACATGAGTCATTCCCTTGCTGAGTCAAAGTGTCAGAAAACACAATGAAACAGTAAGCTATACAACGTTGGTCATTATAATAGGAACTCGACCTCAAATCAATCTAAGGAGCATCTTTATAGATCGATTTGGCTTAAAGGCGAAACTGGTCTGCAATGCCCTGCTTATCACTGCCTCTTATTCTACCGACCTATAATTCGTAACAACGCTTCATGGTTACCGTAGTAATTGCAAGGGATAAAATTCATCTCGTCATACAGTCTCTTCCTTTCGGAACGCTAGCCTAAGAAACTAGCAAGTACGAGATGGCTAGTCGCGTCTAGGCTGTAAATAGGCGAATAAAAGACCGACACCAATCAATCAGCGCTGACGCAGAGAACCTCAATGCCGTATCATATCACTACCTCTTTGGGGCAAGCCATATCAGAAATTGAAGGTACTGAGTGAGTTAGCCGAGAAACGTTAAGCTTCACACGAATTCATCGTCATTTTCCTGATCAGAACTCAATCGTGGGTGCTTCTTAAGAACTGGTGCTTGCAATGTCTGTGATCTCATAATTTCAAATGCAAACTAGTGGAAATAGGAGGTAGTAGATTTGGCGTCACGTGTCCCTCGTTCTCTTTCATAAGAGTCCACGTTTGTATCTGATTGGCTAGTAGCCACAGTTAGTACGACGAACCTCAGAGTGACACCTTTACCTCTCTGAAACAAGAATTATATCAGAGATTGAAGTTACTGAGTGAAGTGGCTGAGAAATGAGTGCCGTTATAATTAGACATCTACGTACGCTGTTTCCACGGAGCTGAAGTTTACTCGCTAATACTGCTTGAAAATACCTGAGAATGAAATATCATATCGATATCAGATCAAATATTGTTTATGTAATCAGATCACATATTTGATACCATGAGTAAACAGTGAGCATGATCTGAACCTACAAACCGAATACATTTTTCAACTGCTACGAATTTCTTATGTTCTGATTCTGAAAACAGTTTC